ACATCTTTGTTTGATATGATTACATTATGACATATTCAAAATTTAGATGATGAAACAACCCAATACATTACATTAAAGAGCTTGGTGGTGAAAAACCCAATTTGATATTTGTTTGAGGGGTGAATTGGAGTTAATAATGCAATTGAAATCAAAGCACTGTAAGCGCTGTAGGCAGTTAACCTAAAACCAAGGCAAACGTAATATGAAAACTGTGGCAGTGTTGCTTCAATTTTTTTTTTAAGATTTGAAAGAACAAACATTAAACATTCGTATATTGTACATTTATGTTTATCAAATGAATTGATTATTAAGGCAAATTAATTAATATTTAATCAAGGTTTTCAAAAGCAACGCATATATATCAATGTAAATGACCCCCATCTTCACCCCAAGTCCATGATGTCACTCCATACCAAGTTTGGAATAAAATGACAGGTGATTATAAAACAGTTGGTCAAACATTCTTGGGCTTTACACTGCTTGAAAGATTTATATGTTTTCTTTAAAATGAGCCTGGATAAATGAAAATTATTATAGGCCCAGAAATAATTTAAAAAAATAATTAGTGTAAATTCAATTAACATAGACTCATTTTTTGCATCAATAAAATTTTAAAATAAACAAGAAATAAGTGTAACAGGATGCCGTCTCCCAAACAAAGCTCCCATAATTCGTCATTCCCATGGTCGCCTGACATTGGACAAAGTCCAGTACATATTGGTTTGGTCTTGTAAAGTGATATGCATATGTGACGCCTAGGGGATTGACCCTGTATGTCAGTCAAATCTTTTTGAAAAGACGAACAGGAATAAATATGGATTAGGAGTGGGTATCTCAACCATTTACAAGTTCTCAAACAGAAGGGGTGGGGTGACCCCAGGGACTCCCCCTATATTTCATTTGATTTGTTTTATTGTCCCATACATGAATATATATGGTTTAGGGGTGGTGATTTCGACCATTTCCAAGTTCTCAAACAGTAGGGGGTGAGGTGACCCAAGCGACTCCCCATATATTTCATTTGATTTGTTATATTGTCCCATACATGAATATATATGGTTTAGGGGTGGGGATCTCGACCATTTCCAAGTTCTCAAACAGGAGGATGTGGGTCGAACCCAGGGACTCCCCATATATTTCATTTGATTTGTGTAAAATTGTCCCATACATGAATATATATGGTTTAGGGGTGGGGATCTCAACCGTTTACAAGTTCTCAAACAGGAGGGGGTGGGGTGACCCCAGGGACTCCCCATATATTTCATTTGATATGTTAAATTGTCCTATAAATGAATTAATATGGTTTAGGGGTGGGGATCTCTACCCTTTACAAGTTCTCAAACAGGAGGGGTGGGGTGACCCCAAGGACTCCCCCTATATTTCATTTGATTTGTTTTATTGTCCCATAGATGAATATATATGGTTTAGGGGTAGGGATCTCGACCGTTTACAAGTTCTCAAACAGGAGGGGTGGGGTGACCCCAGGGACTCCCCCTATATTTCATTTGATTTGTTTTATTGTCCCATACATAAATATATATGGTTTAGGGGTGGGGATCTCGACCATTTCCAAGTTCTCAAACAGGAGGGGGTGGGGTGACCCTAGGGACTCCCCATATATTTCATTTGATTTGTTATATTGTCCCATACATGAATATATATGGTTTAGGGGTGGGGATCTCGACCGTTTACAAGTTCTTAAAAAGAAGGGGGTGGGTGACACCGGGTACTCCCCCAAATAATTTTCATTTGATTTGTTTTATTGTCCCACACAAGTATATATATGGTTTAGGGGTGGGGATTGCGACCGTTTACAAGATAAAAGCACATTTTCAAATTGAAGGGGGTTGGGATGCCCCCAGGGACTCACCCTATACTTTATTTGTTTTATTCACGGTCCTTTACTCATTACTGAAGATCGCATGTGTCTATCACTCACTGTTTTCGAGAAATAGTCATTTGAAAATTTAAAAAATAAAACCCCATAGGGTTCTACAGTAAACCCATCCCTTCTTTAGGCCCCTCAAAATACCCATAAATAGCAGGATTGGCAAAAACCCGGGTTTTATGAGTATTGCCCAGCCCAGTGGGAAATACTGGGAAACCCGGGTTTTACTGGGTTTTACCGGGTAATACTGGGCAATACTAGGTAATATGAAATACTGGCCTGAATTTTAAAGAGGATTCAGTGATTAATCACAAACACAATACATTAAAGTCGAAGAATTCAATTTGGTTTTTTTAATCATGTTAATAAATATAACTTATTTTAAGAATTAACAATTCTATGTAACATGTGTAAGGAAAATTACTTTTAAACATTTTTTGTTCATTGCTAAAAATGTTAACTAAGTTTTAGCATACATGTATGTTTATGTACATCACTAATTAATAAGTAATTATTCAGATTATAGTACATATTTGTTTATATAACAATAATAAGCCTTTTGATTTCTATAAGTTTTCATGGTCTGTCCCCTTAGGGTGTTTATTTAGCAATATGACTGTATAAAAATTAAAATTTACAATTCACTAAAACACTGCAATAAAATGCATTTTTTCAACTTGGATTTAATATTGAAACAAAGCTTGGAAATTAACAAGGTATCCTGAAATGTCCAAAACTTGTATTCTGCCTACATAGAATTAGTAGAGAAAAGGAAGAAATTGAATTTTCAATCTTCAGGAATGACTCTCAATGGTAATCTGTATAAAATGTATATATTTGCAATACTGTGCAATTGAAAATTTCTTGCTATTGCGCAATACTGTGCAATTGAAGGTTTCTTGCTATTGCCCAATACAGTGCAATTGAAGACTTGTCTCGGGGACGAGTTGTCCACATAACTTAAAACATCCCATCGACGTCCATTTCCGGATCTGTTTCATGACCTCGTTTCATTCATAAAACAACAACCTTATTTGGCAAGATAAGTTGTAAAATTACCGCCAATTTAGATATACAACTTTATTTCCTCTATCATAGAGATTTGCTGTACATGAACAATATTCCTGCGCATTTTGCCATTTGGGAAATATAAACGACTTGTAATTACAGATTTTCGGCGATGAAAAAATTTCATACAATTGTTCTTTGACATCTTAGCAAAAAGCCCAGGGGATAATAAACTACGTACAGGTTTCTATTGAGCACTATTTCCTATGTGCAACTTCAAATATTATGGGTCGTTCGACGATCATTTAAGGTTATTCTGGTTATATTTTTTGTATTCCAGAATTAAAAGAATGAAAAAAATGTCCAATTAGTTATAAATAACATATCAGCCTGTTAGATTATAACAATGACACTTTTTCAGCATTCGTTGGGAAGAACACAAATCTAGGGTGCTAGCATAAGGCAGCTTAACTGCCTAAAAACTATTTCACTAAATTACATCAAAATTGTTGTGTAAAAACCCAAATTTGTGAATTCTTATCTGGAGCTCTGTTGCTATTGCACAATACTGTGCAATTTAAGATTTCTTGCTATTGCGCAATACTGTGCAATTGAGATTTCTTGCTATTGCGCAAAACTGTATAATTGAAGATTTCTTGCTATTGCGCAATACTGTGCAATTGAAGATTTCTTGCTATTGCGCAATACTGTGCTATTGAAGATTTCTTGCTATTGCGCAATACTGTGCAATTGAACATTTCTTGCTATTGCGCAATACTGTGCCATTGAAGATTTCTTGCTATTGCCCAATACAGTGCAATTGAAGATTTCTTGCTGTTTCGCAATACTGTGCTATTGTGCAATACTGTGCTATTGCACATTACTGTGCAATTGAAGATTTCTTACTATTGCGCAATACTGTGCTACTACACAATACTGTGCAATTGAAGATTTCTTGCTATTGCCCAATACTGTGAGTGTGATATTGAACAATACTGTGATATTGCGCAATACTGTGCAATTGAAGATTTCTTGCTATTGCGCAATACTGTGCAATCATTAGAAATTTCAAAAATTTTGAAGAAAAAAAATATGGACCCCCCCAAAAAATTGGAAATAAAAATCCCCACAAACTTTTTGAACCCCCTCCCCCTTGGAGTAATTACCCCCAAATTAATCCCAGCCTTCCCTTTCTGGTATGGAACCTTGTAGTACAATTTTAGAGAGATCTATACACTTAAACACAAGCTACTGTCTGGAAACTAGAATAAACTGCTTTGCTGAGCGCAGCTGGATACGCCCGCAGAGGTCCAACCCTGAACAGTTGGGGCAAAAATGAACACAATATTCAAGCTTGATACAGGTCTGAATTTGGATTGTAATTAAATTTTTGACATATTACAGGTTTCTGAATAAATGTAGTAAAGAACTTGAAATTGGTTATATGAATTGAATTTATATTCAATTAAAGATTTCTTGCTGTTGTGCAATACACTGTGCTGTTGCGCAATACTTAGTAAATCTGTTGACAGACTATAAACAAATAAAGTTCAATTTCTTCTCAATGTCATATTTGAAATTTATGAAAATCAATAGGGAGATTACATCAATAGCTATAAATAATTCACCAAAGTTTCATGAGAACTGCAGAAAGCATTTTTGAGTTATTGTCCAAAAACTGGAAAATCCCCCCTTTTTTAATGAATAAAACCCCATAACTCAGAAATTAAAAATCTAAAATTTATAAAATTCTAAAGGGAGCTTACATCAACAGATATAAACAATTCACCAAAAATTCATGAGAACTGCTGAAAGCATTTTTTAGTTATTGTCCGAAAACTGGAAAATCACCCCTTTTTTTATGAATAAAACCCTGTAACTCGGAAACGTTAAATCTAAAATTAATAAAATCCAAAAGGGAGCTCATGTCAATAGATATAAACAATTCAACAACATTTCTTGCAAGTTGGTGAAAGCATTCTTGAGTTATTGTCAGAAAACTGGAAAATCCCCCTTCTTTAATGAATAAAACCCCAAAGCTCGGAAACAGTAAATCTGAAATTTGGTAAAACGTATACATTATCCTTTACTATCTACTATATACCTGAATTCATTGGCTTCTTATTTTTATCATTCTTTCCATCATTGGTTTCTCCGGTGTCCAGGGATATCTTGCTACCAGACATATTATTCTGTACATTCTCATCTGCCGATTCTGTTGGTTTCTTGGTAGTTGGTGATTTGTTTAGTCCAATCTGATCTTGTGTTTCAACTGGTTTTTGGGTAGTTGGTGATTTGTTAAATCCACTCTGATATTTTGTTTCATCAGGTTTTTGGGTAGTTGGTGATTTGTTTAGTCCAATCTGATCTTGTGTTTCAACTGGTTTTTGGGTAGTTGATTTGTTAACTCCACTCTGATCTTTTGTTTCATCAGGTTTTTGGGTAGTTAGTGATTTGTTTAGTCCATTCTGATCTTGTGTTTCAACTGGTTTTTGGGTAGTTAGTGATTTGTTTAGTCCATTCTGATCTTGTGTTTCATCAGGTTTTTTGGTAGTTAGTGATTTGTTTCGTCCACTCTGATCTTGTGTTTCAACTGGTTTTTGGGTAGTTGGTGATTTGTCTTGTCCACTCTGATCTTGTGTTTCATCAGGATTTTTGGTAGTTGTTGATTTGTTTAGTCCACTCTGACTTTCTGTTTCATCAGGTTTTTTGGTACTTGGCGTTTCAATCTGACCTCCTGATCCCATTGGTTTCTTGCTAGTTGCTGAGGTGGGGGGTAAATTCTTATTTGTTGATTCATCGGGATTCTTGCTAGTTGGTAAATCAGATGTTTTATTAACATCAGTAGTTGTTATAGTTGGTATTTGAGTATTTGCTTGTCCATTAGACATCTTATTATCTAATGATGTATGTACTGTTGTTTTATTATGAGGATTTAGGATGTGACTAGATACATTGTTCGTGCTGTTAGGTGTTACATTCTGGGCAGTAGTTACAACCAGTGTACCACTATCTTTTTCAGTTTGGCTGTGAACAGTATGATTGATTGTACTCTTTACTGTGACTGTTGTTGAGATACCTGTTGGAAGACTTTTTACAACCAAACATTGCAAACCTGCAAAAATAAATAATAATAACATCATTTCATGAACAAAAAGAGGAAGATACTAAAGGACCATTAGTCAAACTAAAACATAAAACACAATTAATCAATCAATCAATCAATCAATAGTTATAGAAACAGAAACTTATTGTCTCTTAGACAACAGGCGAGAAGCAATGTTAAATTTACTACATCATATAACTTGTCTATATGTCTGAAAATATTTTAACAAGACCAATACTGGGTCTGGACCTGCATAACTATATGCAATTGATTGAAGTTAAATGTATACATTGGCATAACTGATCATTGCCTTTCATTAAATTTTCCTTGTACAATGGCATTGAATGGGTGTTATTTAAAATTTAAAATTATTAGCAAAAAGGAAGTGGCTGGATGTCTGATGTTAAAATTGCTTAATCCATACAACTCAACATTATCAAGCTGCAGACCAAATATTAAACCATTCCCTTTGATAGTAGCCAAGAAAAAATTGACATTAGACCTGTAAAATTTAAACTATTGGCAAACAGGAAGTGACTGAACAGCTGATGTTAAAATTGCCTACTCACTGCAACTCAACATTATCAAGCTCCAGACCAAATATCAAACCATTCTCCTTGATAGAAGCCGAGAAAAGGTTAAAAAATTTCTCTGTACAAGAACTCTCAGATCTGTACCTAGTGTCTGTTTTGTAATGGGGATGTATAAATACCCTGCCATGTCCAGCCTATTTTTTTGTTTGTTGTTTTTCTGCTTTGTATCAATCTGATGAGTTAAGCTGTTTTCAACTGATTACCAGCAAACTAGTTTAACCTTCTGTATGAGTCTGTTCCAAGTCAAGAGCCTGTCATTCAGTGGTTGTTGTGTGTTACTGTATATCATATTTGTTTTTCGCTCATTGTTTTGTACATAATTAGTTTTCTCGTTTGAATTGTTTATCATTTGTCATTTTCGGAGCCTTTTACAGCTGACTATGTGGTATGGGTTTTGCTCATTGTTTAAGGCCGTACAGTTTCAAAAGAAATAAATGATGATTTTCAAAAACCCCAGACGTCGTTAAATGGAATAGGATTTTTTTCCAGAAGTTAGAAAATTTCTGAAATGGCAAAAAAAAATGTTAGGGTCAGCAAAACAAACGCAAAAAAAAGGCCAGTAGCATAACTGTAAACACACAGTTATTTTTATTTGGCATGTGATTAAACAACAAATGTTCTAGAAGTTTATTTGGCATGTGATTAACTAACAAATGTTCTAGAAGTTTATTTGGCATGTGATTAACTAACAAATGTTCTAGAAGTTTATTTGGCATGTGATTAACTAACAAATGTTCTAGAAGTTGGCAACAAATGCATGTGAGGTTTATAGGGCTGTAGTTTACCAACCCCCCAACCCCTTTTGCCCCCTCACATATTATTATTAGGTACTGGCTACAGTTACATTGAAATGTAACAATAAAAAAAAAGTTATTGTTACATTGGAGACTAATTGCCGGAATGCAGGGTTGGGTAAGGAACCGACTAATTACGAATGTAACAATATTTGTGTCTACAGTTACATTGTGTTATGGTTACGTTAATGCACTACAATGTATGCTGGGACTAGTAATATGTAATAAAATAAAACTTGAAAACTTTTATTTGAATTTTACAATATTGCATACAATTCTTTAATTTTCTATTTACCATGGCAGTTTCTACACATCCAGGATATTGTTATTGGGAGCATGTTTCAGTCTGAAGCATTTTTGGTGAAACAGTTTGCAGAATTTTAGTTCACTGCTGGCAAACTTTGCTTTTGATGTATCAATTTTTCTAGAACTGCATTTGTATATATAACTAAATAAAATTTGAGTCTTGATATTGTTTTAGTTTTGATTCAAACGCATCCCAAGTTTTAAATTTTTCACCCAAAACAAATTTGGTAATAGGAATCACTTGATCCATTGTTCAAAGTATAATGACTGTAATCAGTCAGGGGTACTACTTATACAAGTGATTTCATTATCACTATTTCAGTGATTTGATAAATTCAGTTATCACCTATTTAAGTGATTTCGGTGTTTCCTTTGATCTTGAAATGCTAATTTCATTAATTTTCCATATTTTGACAAATTTTTCAATAATTTTCCTTCATAGATCAATTATCCCTTTCTCTTGTATATTAATTTCACCAGTGCGCTTGGGCAGTAAGTTAGTGCGTTAAAGCTTTTAAAAGTACCCTTGGGAATTTTTCTGTAATCAAATATTCATTAACTACTCTAACAATCAGACAAAGGTCAACAATTTTAAGTAACCTGATTGGTTTTCTTTAGAGTTAGAATGATCTACTTCAAAGTTATGTCCTGATCTACAAATTATTCCAGTTTATGCATATTTTAAATAAACTGTAAAAACTGACAGGCTCATCAAGCAAAAGATCATTTCTGCATGAATATAGTTGTTTTTTCAATGGAATCCTCATGTTTTTACCAATAAAAAATTCAAGCTTGTGGGAAAAATATCAAAAAAATGTTTTAAACACTATTGAAGTGATTACATTTTTACTTCTCAAATTACTTGTTTCAGTGATTTTAAAAAGTCTGTGTCTATTTTTGTAAAAATTTTCAATTTTTCAAAGCCAAAATCACTTAAAGATGTGATTCTGAAATCACTTGTATAAGTACAGTACATTTTAAGTCTTGCTCCTATAAAATGTCCCTATGGGACAAGAAGTCTGACTAGTCATGCTAGTTGGACATATGTCTGACTGTAATTAACCCCTGGAGTGATATTACCTGTGTAATACCTTGCTGGAAGGTCGTAAATTAATCTGTAGCTGTGATTGGTAAATTTGGATTCTTACCTGTAAAGATTTTTAAAGTTTTATGGATGATATATTCCTTCAACATATTTCACTGTTTTAGTGTAGAAAATTTCAGATAAAAAAATGACACAGGATACTTCTTCCAAATTGTGTATTTAATGCTAAATTTATTTTAACATTCTAGTTATTAGTCATAGACAAATCAACTGTAATTTATTCAAAACTCGGGAAATTAATCAGTTTTAAAAAATAAACTTTTTATTTTTCTTTCAATATCACGTTCCCCGTAAGAGCCTCTACATTTATTCTTCCGTGTCAATCATTGCTTGAATTTGACCCTGGTCTGCCAATTCAATTGTGCGGATGATAGATTTATGTATTATATTTCACTATCTTTATGAAGAAGATTACGGATAAAAAAACAAACTCACAAAACAAACTACGAAATTGATCAATCCCTCTGAGTTTTATTTTTTTCTTCTGGTTTTACGTTTCCCGTAAGAGCCTTATCATTTATTCTTCTCTATCAATTGTTACACTCATTTGACCCTGGTCATTTAAATCACTCGTGTTCACCTTTAAATTATTTCCCGCCAATCTTAGCTCATGCAGTCGGCAGGTTTTTGTAAAATGTTGTCAGCCAGTTCTAACATTTTTATAAAAATGAGTGATGGAGGTCAAGTTCATTTTACAAATCAATCAAGTGGTTTTAAATGATATACAGATTAATTGAATTTATTGGAATATATGTTTCCCAGTGTTTACAATGCCGTTAACATGCGTTTTATTTATTCCTTTCTTCTTCATTAGTTTAATAAATTATCAAATAACAGCTTTATTTGCAACTGTGTCATAAATTATTGCGTATCCGGTTTTAACAGTATCAATGGATTCATGCATGATTAATTTTACGGCTTCTCACCAACTTGATAAAGAATACTTTTTATTTGAAATGTTACTTAATGAAAGGAAATTATACTTATTTGAATTGTATAAACAATTGAAAATTGCATCTCTTTTCAGGAAATATACGGCGTTTGCGTAAATAATGAAACATACCAATTACTCGTGATAATAAAAGAGTGGCTTTTTCTTTTGGAAATATTTTTTCATGTGTCATTGATTTTCAAAAGAATAAATAAGCTACAAATATAATAAATTGATCATTACATGACACTTTCAGCAATTAAATGTATCTATATATATAATATGCGACACCTGAGAGAGGCAATACATATTTCGAAAAAGAATAATACCGGCGATGAGGTCTTCTTGTGTATTGTGTTATTAGTATCGTAGGCCTATTAAGTTGTCAAAATTGTTTAACTTTGTTGATTGTATATTTAATTTTTTTTAAACGTAAAATAAATAATTATAATCATGTATCGTTTTTCTCTCGTATTTTTAATACATAAATCACTGGTACACATTGTAAAGACTTTGTAGGTGGATGGTTGGTTGTTTAACGTCCAGTGGCAAATTCTGCATATTCAGGACAACTTAATTATAGTTATAAATATATATACAATATATGAATAGAACTATAATTTCGAAATCCAAGCAACTTTTTGTCACTTCACAGGAGGCGGCGAGAAAAAAAAATCACTGGTACATATTGTATGAAATAAAATTCACCTATTTACTATCGAAAATCAATACAACTACGATATACGTGTTCTACATCCGGTCATAAATTAAATTACATGGGGATTGACGACTTGTGTCAATTTATATATTAACACCTTTGGTTTTATCGCTACATGTATTGTATGCTATTTTAGAATTGAAGGATCGGAAACAAGTACATATTTAGTTAAAAGTTATTTCTCCATTTTTAAATTGTATGATTTATTTTCATTAATACAAACGGACCTAAAAAAAAGTTTTCATATTAATTATTTACACCATTATAGAAATGTATTAAAATCGGAACAAATCTTTTAACTTCATTTGAATATCCATCAGTTTGGAATTATCTAATTGTGGGCACCCATGACATATATGTTTTGCCGCAATGCGTAATGATTTTTCCCACGGTTATAGTATTTATAATTGTAACAAACTTTTGGAGCACATGTTTTATTGCAGAATTTCATGAAATATTTTAGGTACACAATTTATTGTGTACTTTCCCTAACATGAATGAGCAAAAAGGAAATGTTATATTATTGATATATAAAACGTAAAAAAAACAATGTACATGTAAC